CGCATTATCTGACTATATACTGACTCTGTGGTATATATCACAGCAGAACTCTAAGCTGGTTGTGCTATTCATGCAAAGTAAATGCAGACACACTCTCTGGAAAAAAAAGAGCCATCAATCTGTGACATAAAGGGACTTGAGAGTACAAGAGGGACACTCTTCAGATCAATTTGTCCTACTGCCAACTGGAACATCCAGCTCGGAACCCTAAATGCTTCTTTATTAAAGAGTGCTCGTGGTGTCTCCTTTAAATTCATATAAAAATTCCAGACATAATGTTATTATTGTGCAGACTATGTTTGTTTTAAAAACTCGAACGTAGTCATGCAGAAAGAACTGACAAAGGAAATAAGATTTCAATTACCAGCTACTTCCACCACTCCTTGCTTCAGCTGAATCACCCTTGAGTGTAAAATGCGTAGCTATAGCTAAATAATAAGATCCATCTTTGAAAGAAACTTCACAGAGCACACTGGGAGTGCCAAGGCCTGTTCTGTGTTTCCAGATCTGAGCACAAGAGAGCTCCATCCCACCTTTAGAAGTATGATGAACAGTAAAGATTCCCTAAATGATAGAAAAAGCCTAAAAGACCCTGAGAAGTCCCTTAGTTTGCCAGGAACTTAAAAAGCAAGAGCGGTTATCACATGTGAGTAGAAAGCAGTGGCCTGAAACAGAAGTCTGATTTTTCAAGGATGGTGTGCATGACTATATTTTTCTTCCAATTTTACTTAGTTCAACGTAGAGAACCTCTCCCAGCTGCTGCTGCTGAGTTCAGAACTAAGTAAAAGCCTGGGGATGCTGGATGCCATTTTGAAGGTGTCTCATCAGTGCTGTCACAGGGATGCCATAGGGTGCCTGTCTCTGGCACAAGTAGGAAAGAATTCAATATGCAAAATGAAACTGAGAACACTCCTTTGTACAGGAGATACAGATGAACTGGAACCAACTGCAAGAGCAAATAAACAGTAAGACCTATCTAATGAATGGAAGAAACTGGTATTGACTGCAGGACTCTGAGATCAGTTATATACCCATCTCTAGCTGGGAAAGGAAAGAGCACTTGGAATCTAAAGGGTATTTCCAGGATCCAGGGAAATGCAAAATCTAACAGACATGAAACAAACAGCAAAACTCAGACCTAACACAGCCCACATAATGAAAGGGTGAAAAGGTAAGACCTCTGAAAACAGGACTGTATTTAATCCATCCAAGCAAAGACTCAGCCAAGGGGACTGGAGACACACCAGTGCATCCCTCACGACACATCTAAAAGAAAGTGTGAAGGTCACCACAGAAAGATTTCCTGGGTACAAAACAGAATAGAAACTTGTTTGCTCACCCAGGAGCATCAAAAGAATCCTAGTGACATACCAGATGCCAGGGGACTTTTAACTATGTCCCTCTCTAATTGAGGATGAAGCACACACCGACACCATTATCTGCCTGAAGATACTGGCTTACAAAATATGGAACAAACAATAGGAACAGATGCTCATTTGGCCAGATTTCAATAAGCCTCATTAAAATCAAACACCCTGTCCTTGGAGCCCAGGTTCATGCTACATTTCTACCTTATTTAAGCACCTAGCACAAATTCCTGAGGAAGCTGTCCACTTGTGGTTGCACACCAGTTGTATCATTAAAAGAAACCCTCTTGCAGAGATTTTTTGGTTTCTAAAGAAAAAAAAAAAGGAGATTTTCTATATCTATGCCTGTGTGTGTACATACACATGTAAAAACACAATCAGAGATTGCATTTCCTTTTAAAAGATGTTAGCTTGATATACATCAGACTTGTTAATCACTCAAAGGCAATGGGAAAAAGGATGCCAAAACGTAACAGAAAAACTCTGGCACATGGGAGAGAAATGATGCTACAGATCACACACATGAAATCCACACATCACAATATATAATTTTTAATTTAGGATCCCAGCTCTTCAGTTGAAACATGCTCATACTTGAAACAATTTCTAATGCTTCTTATTTGCTTTTACCCAAACTTGTCCAATCAATGGACAACTATCAATGGAGTTTCAGAGGACAAATACCAGAAAAGAAGGGCTAAGAACAAGACACTGATTCATCAGAATATTATATTCTAGCTTTATTTTAAAATGTCTGAATAAAAATAGTTAAGCTATAGGTTTGCAAAAGGCACTGAGCTCCTGGCTGCAGAGGCAGCATGACACTGTACACAAACCCAGACAGACGAGGTTTCCTAACACAAAACATTTCTTGAGTGATCAAAATACTGTGCCCTTTGCTGCTGTCCATACCTGAATATGTGTATCTGTTTTTTCCCCCCTCTATTTTAGGACAAATGCTAGTTGTTAGGTTGGTAGTTTACACTGAATGTCCTGTACAGAAGCACTCCTTCACAAGAGAGTTTAACAAACGAACAGTGCTTCAGCCTGGGAGAAGAGATACCTCAATATCGGTATGTGTGGCCTCACGGGTAACTGCATTTCTTTGAACAAAATTTTAGAAATGTCAAGCACAAAGTCAGTAAATGCCATTAATACACTCTTAACAGAGCACAATTATCTTTTCTGCAACTAGGTGCAGAATCAGAAATTTAGTTTTCAGAAAAACCATTGTCTCTTGCAGACTGACTGACACATCTGACAAACAAGTGATAATGCAGATGGTGTCTTCCAATCAGGGCTGATATTGCACTGCAGAACCAGAAAAAGTACATCATGATTTCCAAGTAACCCTTTCTGTGTTTCATTGCAAGTTGAAAAAAAAAAAATGGAACCCCCTAGAATATGTTTGGAAAAGTCCTGGAGATAATGAAAACTGTATCACCTTCCACTATTCACCTTCCTGACAAAACATTTTAAAGTCCAAGGCTATAAAATACATCAATCATAGAGGATAAATCTTGCTGTGTACATGTGGTAGAAGAAGGACTCTAGACTCCCTAAATCCCATTTAAGCCCTTTATGTAGGGAACATTTAACAGTTGTGCCATTTGCCTATGCCATCATGAAACCATCTGCATTTAGATAGCTGGATTTATAAATGCTTTGACACTTCTGGAATTTGTAAGACAAGCTTTCTTAGAACCGATTTCATGTGGTTTGTAGATAGGAAGGCAAAGGAAAGGAGTACAACAGCCAGGCAAGCCAGTATTAGAGGAATTATATCCCCAGTAAAGTCCTTATGTTTTTTTAGAGAAAGATATATATATCTTTCATACATATATATATATAGATATATATATATATACACATATATATGTGTATATATACATTTATGTGGATGTATGCATGCATATATATGTGTTTATATATGGTTTGCCATACATACATATGACGGCAGACTGTCCAAGAGTATATATATACATGTATTTCCCTACAGCATATAGAGACACGATACTTCTAAAACATACACTTTTTTATGTCCAGGATGGTGTCTCAAATTCATCCTCAACAGCATGAAACAAGTCTTGCTGTTCCTGCCTTGAGCCCTATTCACAGCTCTCACCACAAACCTGCTGAAAACATAACTTTTGGAGAGCTTATTAATTAGGACACAAAGTTGTTAAAGGATGTGATTTTATTCAAAAGAGGCACCACTTAAATTAGCTGTACTTCTTGCACACCCTTGCCCCTTAGTGAGGCAATCAAGTCAAACAGGACACTGTAGAACAGATGGGGTTGAATGGGTTTGCTCCTATGAGCTTGCTGTGAGCTGCTTTATGGCATTGGAACAATGCTCTAAAATGAGACAACTCAGCCAGAGTTGTCCTGATTAAAAGTTTCACCTAGTCTGTATCAGAAAGCACCGTAGGAAGCAGTGTGCAAGACCAGTCATGTTAAGAACGGAAGTGCTGGTATTAGACTTTGGTACAAGGTCCTGGTAACTTCTCTCAAAAGTGCTTCTCCAGCGGGAGGTAACTGGCGTGTCAAGCACAGTTTAAGAATGCTAAGCCACCTGCAAACACCATTAAAAACTTCTATGGTAGCCAATTCCCTGACAAGAGTCCAAAGTAATGGGACATCCAAATTTCACCAGCAAAACCCCAGCAAAGATTTAGCTGGGAAATTATCTTGAAGGTCAATACAAAAGTGGCCCCTGAAGGGACAAGGCACCTTTAACAACCAATCAAAGAATGAAAGAAATGGATTTCAAGAAGATCAAGGAATAATAACTGAAAGAGAAAACAGGCTTTTGAGTGGTTGGGTTTGTGGTGACAGAAGAGCAGCAAAATGACAGCTGGTTTCAGTAACAGATGGCTGTATGCACTGATCTCTCCTGCATGCCCATTCTAAACTTCCTTTCAGTGGAAATACAATGCTTACACAAGGCTAAACGCATCCTCCACGCAGCCTTTCCACGCATCATCATGGTTCAAATGTTCTCCATTCACAAACAGACCAAGCCGTACATTTTTTTACTCTAGTTATGCTGAATTCTAAGAAAAGAGGGTGGCTAATGGCACCTCATCTTTTCCAATCACATCTACCTCAATTGTCAAAAAATTACTTTTCCGTGACAGGCTAATAAATTCATTTTCTTACCATTCTGCCTCTAATATCTCCCTTGTCCCTTTTCTTTACATACAGTGTTCACTCTATTTTAATTGAAAAGTCTTTTTGCACCTCCCTTCTGGTAGCTAAGAAAGGGAACCATGATACAAAGAGCTCTCATGTAGTATTTCTAATATGTATCTGGGCATTTATCATTTGAAGCTGCCACAGCTAATTACATGGCCGGCGTAGGTCATCCCACTGGAAAAGCCTATTACTTGAATAGCAGAATGAAGCCTTCAATCCTACATAGCTCAGGCAGGACTCAAGTAATCATTTCCAGCAGAGAAAAACAGCAAGTCTAAAATCTCCACACTGAAGGACAGAAAAGCCTACTCAAAATACTTGCCCTTTGTTCAAATATTTTTTTCCTAACTGTAATATTTAACAAGAACTTTTCGTTGACTAATAATGAACAATTTGCTAAAAACCCCTCAAAACCAAAGCCGTTCTCTTACTTACTTTGGCCACACAGTTTTCAGTCTTCATAGCAGTGCTTCCTAGACATACTGTTTCCTGGTTTAAGCACAGTCTGGCACAGCTGTTGTAGGTCTGCAGAAAGATTAAAATGGTTATGAATAGAAGAAAACAATTTTCTTTCAGGCACCACATTTTTGGCACAGGAACCTACACTAACTCTACTACTCTACTACATTTCCTTTTTCTTAGATGTAAATGTTTCAAACCAAAATAAACTAGTTTATAGCAAAAGTCTATGTTCAGGGCATGCATGTCCTCTGAGAAGCTATGTACAATTTTACAGTAGGGAAATACAAAGAAAAAGATTTTTCTTCTCTATTCCTTTGAAAATGGAAAAAAAATTCTCATCTCAGTTTTTGTTCTTTCACAAAATGCTGCATAATGGAACAACTAAAGCAAGGTGATTTCTACACACTAGTTATCAGAAAGTATGTCAAATGTGAATAAACATCCGACTTTATCAGAATATAAAATGTAAAATACATGGGACACAGTGAAGGCTATAATCAGAAGGGAGCAAATACAGACCACATTTCATTGTTGTATTTATTCTTCTCAGTCATGTAAAGCTTTTTTAATTTTTTTGAAGTAGAATGTCTTTTTTCTTTAATGCTGTCCTGCACAAGTGAGCCCCAGTCAGGGCTGCAGACTTCAGAGTCCTTGCAGAACACATCACTCACAGTCTCTCTCCCTTTTGAGGGAAGTGTATGAACAATACTTACAAAGTGGGCTTAAAATTATAATTTGGTTGACTTGTCTGTTTAAACTAATATGTCTGAAAAACTCAGGAGCTTTTTATAGAGGCTCTCCTCCTCACCCCCAGAGCCTTTTCATCTAAGAGCTTCAGTATGGGATTAATACACCTGCCACCATTTACACAAAAATGCTCCCATGCAGAAGTGGCAGCTCAAAAGCAAGCACCAACTTGGTTTCTTTCAAGAGTAGAAAGCAGACCACAAAGAAGATGTTGCCACCTCAAATAATTGCTTGGGGAAAACCCAAAAATATGCTGAAAGAGAATTAAATTAAACTTGTTACAAAGACATTTTCAAGAGCACTAAGCAAAGCATACTAATATTCATGATATTTTTAAGATTGCCTTAATGGGAGGATGCACAAACACTTGTAGTGAGCTGCCTGTCAGTTCTCTCCCTGTAATACTCACTGGCAATCTCTGGAGATGTTTTTTTCAGGGCTTGCTATGATTTCCATTTGCTTGACTTGAAATGACTTCAACCCCAAATCTGGTACAGGTTACAAAACCTGTGGACAACACTGGTATGATAAGGGCACCTAAACTTCTCCTTCTGCCCCAAAGCTCCATCAGCAGAGCCAGATTCCCTCAGTGCCAAGGACCAAAAAGCTATTTCCCTCTCTTGCCCCTCTGCCAGAGGCCTGATTCTGTGCAAAATGTTGTCAGCAGCAACACAAAAACTGGCAGAGGAGCACATGGCAAAGGATGTCAGAGGCAAGAATGCAAAGAGATTAAAAGGGGTTTATGCTGAGCAATCGGAGATGTGTCCACAAAGCCAGTGTTCCCAACAGCCCCCAGATGAGGTAAGCTCCAACTGAAGGGAACTGAGTGTTCCCAATCAGTTTATAACATTCACCTAAGTTCTAACAATCCTCATGAATCATTCCTTACTGCACGGGGGAATCAGTATACTGGCTTAGATGGATCTGTACTGGACCAGCACAGTACAACCATCCTTGGAGAAATTAAGGAAATCACAGTCCTTTCCACCTTACCTGTTTACAGAGTCCCTTTAAAGTTCACCATGACACAGAAACAAAAGAGAGCACAAAAGCCCTAATTTCTCCACTGCTTTAGCGGTTCATATTTCATTTCTCAGTGAGGTCTCTAACCAGAAAACAACCAGCGACAGACAGGAATGCAGAATATTCTGGCTCCAGAATATTCTTACATGTCACAACATTGATATCTGCTTTGACAAGCAATTTCTGACTCTAGACCCAGAAAGAGAAACTGAAAAAATCAAACACACGAATTCTTTCAAGGTGTTGCGCAGATGAACAAAGTGCATCTTTCAGCAGGAGAGGCTCAGATTCAAACTGGATTAGGCCACAAGCAATCAGAAGTCTGACTGCCTCTTGCAAATATTTGCCACCATCACACTGGTATGCATAAAACTTTCCCCTCAGAAGAAAGATCAGAATGGTATAAACTCCTATAAATTTGGGCTTAGATATAGCATCCTAACCGATAAGACAAAAAGTTGATACCATCTGCTTAGCACTGACATTCAGACAATACCATGCAAACTTCATTTTACAGGCATGGTATTAAACTCAACTAGATTATGAAGGTGAAAAACCATGAAGAGATGGTGAGATTCTTTGTTCAGTTTTTACATTTGTGTAATTTAACCCATTTATTGTAAATCTGTATTTTTTTCACTTGCAATTTAATTCTTAGAATTCCATATGCAGTATTTCTGTACAACTTGTCTGCTATATACTGTACATACATATGTAAGTTTTATGAGGAGCCCTGACGTGAGAAAAGCTACTACTAACTCCACTTTGCAGATCAAAAGCTCAGCCACAAAAACATTTACCGAAAGCAACAAGGAAGTCTGTGGCTCTGTGAACCGAACCATGAACTCAAATCTTGTCAGTCTTTTTCCTCCCAAGACAGGTATGCACAAACCTTGGTTGCATGCCAGCTTTTTAAAAGCTAGGCTTACAACAGGCTTTCTCTACATTTACAAATGGGAAAAAGTAGACAATACAAATACAAAATGTGAAATGCTAAATGCTAAACCCAAAGATGTCAGCATTTTCTGAGAATGAAAGAAGCTCACTATGCACTATTCAAAAGTTACATGCATGTCAGAACACAACTACAAATAATTATATTCCAGTGTATTGCTTAATTTTGTTTACTTTCACCCACACATTACATCTCAGTGAGAACAGGATTGACTGAACGTCCACCATAACTTGTTAATCAAATCCCACAATACCAGGACTACTGACATTTGACAGAACTAGTATAGCATAAATTTAAAGAAGATAAAGTGAAATACTTCTTCAGATAGCTGGCACTGAACTTCTAGTGCTTCCTGCCCCAGGACATCATGCAGAGAAACTTCATCAGAAGTAGAAAAAAGAACAAAACAAATTCATGGACAGCAGCTCCATAGATACTCAGCACAGATATCCTCCAGACATCCCTAGTGCAACAGCAGTAGCTGCTGCAGGAACAGGAGGTCAGTGGAGTACCAAAAGAGGCCAGACTTGTTTGCTGTCATTTAACAGCACCTTCCACTGAGTGCTGGAGTTGGCAGTGGATGAGCTGACTGGGTCTGGCTGACCTGGGCATTCTCATGCTATCAATATACCTCTCTGCCCTTTGAGAACAAGCCAAGGAACTCCTCCTGCCCAACCTTTTAAACCACAGAAGAAGAGAAGAACATGATTTTACTGTAAGAGACAATGTTTACACAGTAATTTTATTACATAAGGATTCATGTATGTGCCAAATTACCAGACAACCATTTAGTCCTTCAGCAGCTCTTTGTTTCTCAGCAGAAGTAAAAGGGAAAAAGAGAAAATAAAGAAGAGTATATATCATGGATTCAACACATCAGGATGCATATTTGAGAATAAAACATAAAGTACTCTTTCATTTGACATACATTACTGTCTTTGCAAAGTTACGAAGTTCTTATTTTCACATTCTCACAGAAGAATGCCTCATTAGCCTTGTGGGATGAATAAAGAGGGCAAAGAAGATTCACATGCATGTTCTACAATATCTTTTAAAGGGTTGAAAGCAAAACACAGAAAACCTAGTTCTCCCTTAAAGTCCAGAGGAAAAAGAAGTAATGTCACTCTGCTTGATAGGTCTCAATGGAAATGTACTACCAATGTTAAAAAGAAGCTGCATCTGGTTCATGAGGCCAGGTTTTAAGAAGCTTGGAGAATATACTGTCAAGCCAGTACTATATGGTAGTCTCCAAGTGCTTTTTTGCAGGCAGCAGTTACTGGCTACTGAGAGACACAAAATGGCTGCTGGACATGGTGATTTGGTTTCATCTGATACTCTTTGTACACTAATAGTTATTGTGAATAAGTCCAGTGAATAGACTAGTGAATTCTGAAAGCAGAATGAATGTCATTTCATCAAGTAATAATGCAGAGCCCTTCACATTAGGTGAAACATTTGATGGTGTCTAATGCTACACTGCAAGGTAAGAGTACCTCCTTTCACTTGTTCATTTGTTCCAATGCCCATGGGAACACTGACTTACCTGAAAGAAAAACAGGAAAATCAAAGCCAAAACTAAGCCTTAGAAAAGGAAATTTCTCAAATTCGCCTTTAAAGCTTGACCCTTTTACATATCTCATCTAATCTGCACCAAAACTGTTCAAGTTTCTCCTCACCTTTCATCAAAATAAGAGGTTTCTTCATCAAGGAAAAGTATTCTGAAATGGTAGCCTGGTTCAACGCTACAGGCAGATAGCTTTGCGTTGGAGTGCTTTAATATGTTTTTATATTGCATATAAAGCATGCAAACATAAACCAGTTTGTTGAAAACTACCCTCTTTGTGGAAGCTGGCTGTAATTCTGAACAAGTTTTCAATTTTCGCACTGCTGCTAGGGTAAAACATTTTAAAGAGTTTAATTTTTACAGTGGCTTCAATGACACAAGATTATCTAACAAAGTAATGGTTAATCAATAGAGGGTTTAGTTGTCAGGTGAAACATATAACACACTAAAAGGGATTGATTGCAAGACTCTTCCTTATTTACTGGGAGGTATATATTTAAAATGACACAAACTTGTTACCAAGCTGCATTCCTTTAACCTTGCAAAAGCCGTTTGAGAAGTGTGTTAAGCAGCCCTATAGCCAAACAAGCTCAAATGGAAAAAAAAAAAAAGGAACCTACAAATATATGGGAACACCAAATCATGTCAGAAGCAGGGGAACCACAAAGCTGTATTCACTCTCAGCCAAAGGCTTAAAATGCCACAGAGGCACTAGACTACGGTTCACTAAAGATAGAGCTCTATCTGATCTCATTCCGTAAGTGTCTTTGGTTA